AAAATGCTGGGTAAGTCCAGGAGCTTTTGGAGCAAAAGACATCTGGTCATTTCAACTAGCGTTCTGTTTTCCGTTCAGTGAGAGACCAACATCGCTCTGGAGTGGCAGTCGGGAGGATTCGAGAGAATACATGTATATATGTATATTGTAATGTATGTATATATGTGTGTATATAATGTATGTATATATGTGTATCATTGTGTTGTTGACGTGTTATTCTAAACACGTTATTTGCAATAAATATCATCATATGCCTCGGTAGTCGAAAGGATAAGATGCCTGCCCGGTAAGCAGAAGATCCAGATTCGATTCCTGGCTGAGGTGGTATTTTTTCGCAAAATAATTACGAGTTTTCACTGGTTCGTGGTGGGGTCCCGCTGTGACGCACAGCCTCCCTTCTTATTTGGGATCTTATTGGCGATTCCGTTTTGCTTAGGGGAATAAGTGACGATGAGACGTCGTTTATGCCGCATTCTTTAAGGAAGGCGTCGAATCGTGAATTGCAACTCCTTACTGTTATAAGAATGCAAATTCTTTATATTCTCTCCCAGTTTGTGTCAGCAAAGTTTTTTAAACTCTTTGGACGCTTGTAGTACATTGACCTTTTGCTTTAGGAACCGCACTTCACACCATCTCGAAAAATCATCAATAAAGGTGACGAAATATCTAGTCCCGCCATTGGATTTGATTCTTATTGGGCCACACAAATCCGAATGAATTATCTCGAGTGGTTTTGTCGTTTTCCTTGCCGATCGTGGAAAAGGAACTCTTGTTAATTTATTGCGAATACATATTTCATACTTGGATAGTTTTTCATCGTCTTTGAGATCTAATCCCCTCACAGTTTCAAGTTTTGCCATTTGCTTTAGATCTTGTTCGTTTAAGTGCCCGAATCTTTGGTGCCATTCCTCTAATTTTGACGAATTTAAGATTGAAGCCCTCTTGCATTCAGCAGCTGACCTTTCTCGTACATAGTATAGATCATTCTGTCTGCGATTGTTCTGATCTTTCCTCGAAAGGAAATTGTTCCTTCGATAACGTACGCTGCGTCCTTTTTGAACAAGACCTGATAGCCGTTATTTGTGATTCTTGCTACCGACATCAAGTTTGTCCGTAAATCTGGAACATGCAACGTTTTCTTTAGATTTACTCAATTTTCCTTACTATTAACGTCGGCGACAAACTTGATTTCGCCTTTCTCAACGATTTCGGTGGATGTTTTGTTGGCCAAATTTAACATTGTTCGAGTAGATCCCGACAGTCGCGAGAATATTTCTTTATTCCTACGCAAGTGCGACGTGCAACCACTATCCAGGTACTACTTTGAGCTTCTGTCTTCAGCGACTCCAAACGTGGTCTCGCCATTCACTGATGCGTGATAGTTTGATTTGGCTATATTTTGTATCTTCGCGATTGTTTCTTTTGGAGGGGCAATTCACTGCTTTGTGTCCTTTCTTCTTGCATTTGTGACATGTAAACTTAACATTTGAGGTACTTGACTATACGTCACTAAGTTTCTTATCTCTATGAGGTTTCGTTTTTGAACTTCTTCCATCGAACTTTCTCGCGATCATTGCGTCGAACATACTGTGGCTGGATTTTTCTTGTCGAGCATGATATTCTGCAATGATCTTCACTTTTAAGTCTTCTGGTGTCGGCAACGAGTCTCAATTGCGCATCTGAAATTTTCGAATGTGTCGGGTAGACTATATAGCAATAATATTAATAGTAAATTCAACTTTATTTCCTCATCCATATCACGTAACCTGTCGACGGTATCAAAGAAAGCCTTTAGATGTTTGTGGATATTTTCTCCTTCCTGCATTTTTTGTAGAATCAACCGTTTGCAGCCAGACCTTTCTTGTCGGACCTCGTGATTGATAGGTTGACTGGAGCTTTGTCCATATTTCATGCGACGTCTTGCAATCTCGTATCATGCCGATTTCGGACGAGTCAATTAACATTATTAGCATGGACATAGCTTTGTTGTCATCCTCTACCCATGCTTGGAATCCGCATTGGCATCGCTAACTTTCGGTTTTGTGAACTCGTCGCTTACATATTTCCATAGTACCTTTACTTTCCATGAATCGTAGTTATCTCGATTTAGACTGTCTACTTTCAATCCACTCACGTTCATTCTTGCTTTGTGAAAAACTAGAGTGCGATCACCTCTAACCTAAAACTAACCTAACTTAGAACTTGTATATATGTTTGTCTTAAGTTTTCTTAGTGAGCCTTACGCAATTGAAGGATTTCTGAGCTCATAACCTGTTAATGCAAGGGTACGCAGATCGATATCGTGAGAACACAAAAGAAGATTCACTTTAACCTTTTTGAACACAAGGGAACTTTATTATTAGAATACATAAGTGAGTGTATGATGTTGCAAGCATACATAACGTATTTTATATATGTATGTATGCTTGAGTGTGATAAAACATGTATATGTATAGAGGGACAGAAGGCTTCGTAAGTATCGCTTGGATAGATAATTGAATGACGAGCGCGAATTGCATTCCAACAAGGTATATATGGTATTTATATAAATTACCTTTTTTAAAAAAGGTAAAAAAAGGGTGTCAAGTATAGTAGATATTGCCAACTCAAATGATTGTGTAAAATTTATATGAAAGATTTGATATCAATAATTGGCGCCAAGTTATAGTCCTGAAAATTTTATTTAAATAACAAAAATTTTTATGTAAAAACACTTGGCGCTGCTCATATCTCTAAAAAAACATGAATAAGATGTGTGTGTGTGTGTGTGTGTGTGTGTGTGTGTGTGTGTATGTGTGTGTGTGTGTGTGATTCGAGTATTAGCATACAGCATGGATTGTTAATTAACTAATAAAAAAATAATAGAGAAATATGAAAAGAAATGATTTTGCTGAAATATTTAAAAATTATAAAAAATAATTTTGTTAGAACATAAAATAATATTGCAAAAATGTTCATTCCGTAACAATTAATTTGAATTCTACATAATTATTTTGATAGCCTGAACAAAATTATTTTCAGATCTCTAGTCAAATTTTTAGATATTTCACTCAAACCGTTCTTTCCATGAAAGATATAAAAATGCAAGTGTTTTTATCTGTGTAAATTATGTAATTAAATATGAGAAGTAATAATATATACGTACAAAATAAAAATAACATATTTATCGCAATTTATTGCGATTTAAACGAATTGATCATTAAGTCTATCATATTTATGCATGCGTTTCGCATTATCTATATTTATCGCATTATCTACATCCAACGTAGAAATACCTCGCAGATATTATGCAAATCGTGAGTACAAACAGTAATTCATGTTTTACGACGCAATTGAAGGACATGTTGTAATTATGAACTGCAGGATCAACAAATAGCGCAAAGCCTGCGTTTCTGTTTTCGTTACAGGCACACCCATCGTTCCTCCACGTTCGACTCGTTTTTATATATTTCATGCATATTCGAATTGTCATAGCTATTTCCGTCCGCGACAAATTTGCTCGTGCCATGAATGATTAGCGAACGTATTACCGATGAATGAAATCATCACAAAAGAATATCGAATGAGACATAGAAAAGTGTTCTTTGAGACAGACTTGAGATGTATTAATTACTTTACTTTCGAGAGAAGGATGAAGTAATCGTTTATTTCTAGCAATAAAATTCGAGAAATTTTGTTGAATAAAAGCCATAAACTTCCATTAAATTGAATTAAATTATAATAAAGTGTCATCTTATTCAATTTTATTAATCTTATATTTGCTGTATAATATAATTTATTTTAACAAACATTAATAAAAATTTATTATCTAGTTTGTAATTTTTTATTTTCTTTTTTTATATTTTTGTATGAATATAAAATATCAGTAATTTTTAATAAAATACATTTTTAATGAAATTGTACTTTAAATTTTAAAAATATGATAATATTCAACAGTTCTCCACTTAAAGATAATATTCTCGTTTTTTAAAATATTTATTGAAGATTTGAGCTCATTTATTCAGACTCAATTCTATTTAAAAATACTGCTTTTATTTTTTGAAGTAATTACAGATTCGAAACTATCAAGCAAGCAGATTCGCAAAGATATTCGCTATCTATGAGATATGAGAGATCGCTATTTATGAGATATTTATAATTTTTATGGCTTACTGGTACTTGTTGCAGTCGATCTTGGAATATCCCAGATCGCTTTCCGGATCCTCCTTCCATCTCATCAAATCCGCATTTACGGACGCTACCATGAAAGTTACGTCATAATTGTAACCGACGGCACCTTCCTTGACGGCCTCCACCGATGCTGGTCCGCACTGATAAAAGTTGTCCGATTGTTCCTGAGGAGTAGCATCGATGGCCTGCCAGCCTCCGTAACCCTTCGGGAGATCTGGTCTCGCCATCCATACGTCGTTCCATACGTGATAGTTCCAGATGGAATCTTCGCCCAGGGGGTTGTTCGGATCGTACTCGAGCTCCTCGTTATTCAAATCGTAGTAACGATCCACTGATAGCGAAGCATTGGCATCGTGAGCCGATACCAAATTGGACACCACTCTCGACGGAATTCCCAGGGCACGACAGACCGTAGTGACGACACCAGCAAAGACCCAGCATTGACCATACTTGACTTCGTTACCGGTCTCCAAGAATTGCTCCAGAATAGGCACACTTCCGGTCCAAGCGGCCGGCGCGGTACCATCACTGTATTCGCCATCCCAGCGGCCAGTTAATACGCCCTTATCATCGTTAGAGTTTATCTAAAAGCGATAAAGAAGAAAAATATAAATTAAACAAATTGCACTCCGATTGATTTTGATTTAAAGATAACTTCAATGAAAGAAAAAATAGAGCGAGTTTCGAGTCTTGGAATAAATCGTCCTCACCGTCGTGATATTCCTCTTTTAATTATTTTTAATTAGAATATGAATAAGCGATCTTACGGTATATTCTGATTTAATTAGTAATTGTAAAATCGAATTATTTCAATTGATATCTAATGATTTCTAATTTTGAACAAATTCATAATAATACAAACACGACAGTTGATTTTAAAACAAGCTATTGAAATAAAAAAATGAGAATGTCTTACAATTCTCGAGATTGCCCGAGTCATTCTGACCGGGTCGCCTCTGGATATTGCCTTGATTCCGGATCTTTCGAGCAATAGCTGGCAAGCTGGCAGCACACATGCGTCGAACTGTCCGAAAACCCATTCTCTACCACGGGAACTACCCCATGGACCCACCCATATTTTTCCGACATCATTGAGGATGTACTCGTCAAGCAATTGCTCATCTTCCATATAGACCAAATCCTCTGCAATTGGAATCGATAAAAAAGGTATTAATGAAATATTCTGCGATCCTTACGCAAAAAACCAATTTTGCTAAAGTACCTAAAATCTTGATACAGAAAATAATTTTATCAAAAATCATCAAAATAATTATGAAATTCAAATTATAAATTATGATATTCAAATTGCTTATTAGAATATCAAAAATTTTTACAAGCTAAAGGCTGCTTAAACGTCTTACATAGCTCAACAAAATTATTTTCAGATTTGTATTGAACTTTTAGATATATTTCAGCAAAATTGTTTTTTCCATGTAAATAATTTGCAAATTTACTTCTCCATCAGCTTCGCGTACCTTTCATCCAAGGATTGAAGAGTAGATAGATATCTTTTTCATAATTGTAAGTATTCGGCGCTTTTCTTCTGCCGAGAGTATTAGTTTCCACGTTCAATTGCCACACTCCAACGGGACTGTCAATCGGACTTCTGACTTCGACAGACAGATCCACCCCGTGAATGCCGACCATTCGAACGCCCCAAGCCTCCAGATCGGTCAGGTAAGCATCCCTGTTGGTAATCGTGTTTATTCCTCTGGTACCCCGCAACACGTTGGGATTCGGCCCGAAGCTGAAGAGCAGCCGAACGATGTCGGTTTCATCCACGTATTCGCGGTTGAATCTCAAAGCCACATGGAAGGCCTGTCCTCGTCGAAGAACGGGAATTGCCGGATCCTGATGGACAATCTCAAAATTGAAGGTGCGGTGAGCCTCGGCATTCTCCTTCTCGTACAAGTACACCGCTTCAACTATCAGCGGTTCTTCGGACATCTAGAAAAATAAATAGAAAAAAATTAGAAAATTGTTTATCGTCCTATTTGCGAGATTATGAAAGAAATTGAACTAAATTATATTGTAAAATTTGTTTTCTTTAAATAGAAAATTTCTGAGAATTTCAAGAAAATATCTTTTTTCTGAAAACTTTTTCAATTTTTTTTTTTTAATAAACAGTAATATTGTAATTAATTTAAATTTTAATATATCCATGTATAAAATTCCATGTACTTCCGATTTAAGAACGATTTGAATAAAGAAAGAAGTGTAGACATTTTAAAATAAACTTAACGTTACGATATTTTCTTTCAATTATCTTTAAGGTATGGATAAATAATGTATTTTTAAGAGACAAAATTGTCAATTGTTGAGATGTAAGTCCTCTTAAAAATTAACGATCATGCCAAAGATATTTCATGCGGAAGTATGATTTGGTGCATCAATCGCAATTGTGTAATCTCATTCCCAAGTATTGCCACAACGGGACAACACTCGAAGATGCGTTCTCATTGCCTTCAGATTGCATGGTCTGCATCCGTCTTTGATTCATCCGGAGACATTGCGTAAAAGTCCGAGAAAAATTCCGAGCGCGTAATCCACGTAATCGTATCCCATAAAGGGGCGGTTGATCGAACGAGTCGGTCCCATCAAGTCGACCTCGATGATTCACCTGATTCTCCGCACGGGTGAAATGCGGGATTTCACCTGCGTTGAGATACGTGCGTCTCCGACCATCCGATCATCAGCCAAATAACGTGAAGAGATCACTTATATATATATTGATTGTAGAAATGAAACCGGTATTTCGAGACAATCCCCCTCATTTGAATAAACCGTGTTACGCAAGCCACACTTCATCTTATTTTGAAAGCGAGTTGTGTTCCGTGATATCGAATAAAAAAAAACCCATGTTCTTTTTATGAGCGACTCTTGATAATTTACTTGATAATTTACGGCAACATCACCAATATTGCTTTAAGTGATTAAAATGGAATCCGCACAGCGATTATTTTAAAATGTCAAAATAATATTTTTGAAGAATGGAGATAAAGAAAATCTTTGGGTGATCTTTTTCACATCTTTCAATAAATAGTGAATAAATTTAAGTAATTAAATTAAATCATTAATTAAAATAAGACTTATGTAAGATCAATGTAAGATTTTAAGAGGTATATTTTAAAATATGAAAATAATATTCTTGAAATTAGAAATCAAGAAAATTTTTTGATTAAAATATTTCTTTCATGCCTCTTAATAAAGCAATGAATAATATACTTTTCTTTATATTGTTCATATTATTGTTCATATTATATATACATTCTAAAAATATATTACATAATTAATTTTTTAAATGTTAATAAAATATCCAAAATTTAGATCATTGAAAATTAAATAATCCCATTAAATATCATTACTTGTATATCAATTATAATTTTAACATAGAAAATAATTTAATAAGACGTTACATATATGCATACATATCAAGATTTAATTTCAGAATTCATAGGTATTTTATTGGATGTAGATATTTCTCATATTTTAATATCGTTACAATTAGTTTTACATACACTTCAATAATTTTTATTTCTTGGAATTTTTTATTTCTTGAAAACTTCTGTTTTTTTTCTATATACCGATTTTTTTTTAAAGTAGTTTATCGAACAAAATAAAATTCAAACTTACCTTGTACAGATTTATGAAACAATCAACGACGGAAGAAACCACAAAACAGAATCACGAACGACAATCAATTTCCAAGTTACACCGCAAACGCACTGACGTTCGAAAACGCGTTCTGCCTTTTATATGAGATATAGCTTCCTACAGTAACCGCAAATCCCCACTACAACAATAATCTCATGTAGCTTTTAGATCTCTGAGTAAACGTGTCGATATGAAGCCGAAACGCACACTATATGTAAAGCTATAAAAAAAACGACAAATCAATTAATTTTTCCATTTGAATATATTATTCCATTTATTTACAGTTTAAAATAATTTATCTATTTTTCTATCTTTCATGTATTTTCGAGAAAGATATTTCAATTAAAATTATTAAAAAAACATCTTTTATTGTGAAAAAAATTAGGATTAATTTTGTGTGTATAAAACGCGTATAATATATAAAAACTTTCTTTTTTAATTATATTTTAATGAATTAAAAATAAAAGAAAAATACAGTACATTTTTAATTGATATTTATAAATTGTAGAAAGGACTTTAGACTATTTTAGAATTTTGTATAACTTATTGAAATAATGATAAATTCAAAGATATAATATAAATATTTTTTAAGTATATCAAAAAATGAAAAAATTCGCCTGAAATTTAAATTTAAATGTAAATAGCAAACTTGAATTTCTCTCTATTCTTATTTTTATCTTTTCTATCTTTTTTTAACTTTAATTTCGGTTTAATTTATTCTTTATTTTTTTCTAATTTTTGGAATTAAAAAAAGATAGATTTTAATTCTAGTTCAAGTTAAATTGAGACTAAAATTAATCTGCTTTTCTTGATAGAAATGAGCATAAGACGTATGTAAAATGAAATTCGTCTTTTAAAATACCAATAATAAATATAATTTTTTTCGATCTTAATGCGCACAAAGGCTAATTTCGATATCGTTTGTTTGGAATAAAATTTAATTGGAGAGTTATATCTTATCAACTCATGATGCAACGGTAATTAACTCGATAAACCGCAGGTTCTCATGGGTGGTGGACGTTGCGGTCAGTTTGCAGATTACTCGCTAGCGATGGGAAATGAGAAAGGAAATGGGGTGAACTTGTGACGAGGTGAACTTGTACGGCGGTTTGATGTTTTCACAAATTTATTTGCGTTCTGTGTATCGAGCTACACAAATTACGTAGTAAATTATTGGTCTGTAGTTCTTTTTTAATTCCCTCCCGCCGACTTTTCGCGTGCGCGTAATAATGGCGAGATCTAATAATTGCGGGTATGAAACTTTCTCTCTTTCTTTTTCTCCCTGCGGCCAATTTCATCATTAACAAATATTTCCTCCAATCGTGCACTTTGTGTATCGCGTCTAAAGATCTATCGCACATATCTCTCACAATTAAGCAGAATTAACGAAAATTCATTTCCTATCCCATTTTTTTTCTTTCTCGAAATAATAAATTTAAAATATAAATAAATTCAAAAATAAAAATTCAAAAATTTTATATACAAAAAAACAAAATTGTATTTAATATTATATCTTACGAAAAGCAAATGTAATATTTATTTTAATATCTGCTTTTGTAAACATTTTTATAAAAATACATAAGAAAACAATTATGTACATGAAGGAACTTAATAAATTTGTAAAAGAGTATATAAAATTTTGAATATACTTTTTATACAAGTAGGACAATCTCTTAGCTGCTCATTATTAGTTACTGAGAATTTGAAAATTTTTATCTCAGTTGTCCAATCGAGAATATACAAAGATCTTTAATCATCGACGATACACGAAACGCACAGATTCGACATAAATCTTGCAATACATACACACTCGTATAATCCTTAAATAAACGGATCGTGTGTGTTGAGCACCCATCTAAAATGTCTAAAAACATTACGGTAAGGCAAGTAGCAGTCATATGTAAACAAGAACGAGGAATAGATACTATCGACTACGCAATACAATTAACTATAACGCAATATCCGCTTCGGATAATTTTCGGATTGGGGATTTATCATCTTGTATGCTTCGCATTTTTTTTCTCGATCATCTCACACTTCGTGGTTTTTAGGGGTTGCGTCGTTTTCGCAGAAAAAAATGCTTTTCTTCGTACAACGCTGCCGATTCGTACAACAATGATCACTAATGTACAATCACTCATGGAAGGCCAACAAAGAAAACGATTAATTATCTTCTTCATTGTCTTGAATAAAGAAATAAATCTTTAATAAAAAGATTACAGAAATAAATTTTTACAAAATTATAAAATTAAATACCTATTTCTTCAAGTTAAAATTAGAAAAATATACATAATTTTTCAAAATAAATTTCCTACACAGGAAATATATACATATAAATATATTATTTTTATTTATTTTATCGAAAATTAAATCTTCTGTGAGTAATGATACATTAATGATCAATACTTCATAAGTAATGCCATTTCATGTAAAACAATTTTTAATATAAATCGGCATTTTCCTCTAGCAGGTTTTTTAACATCGACTCCCTAATGTGGCGGAAAAGCTTTACGAGCGCACGACAGGAACAAGCGTGTCTTCGTTAAGGATATTTCACTCAATTTTTACCAAATTTGGCACAGGACTTGGCTGTCGCGTTTATTGACTACGATCCTCGCATCTCGATGTCCTTTTCTCTCAACTTCTCTCACAACTGATTGCCATGGATTTCCGATATGAGATTGCTCTGCTAAACTCAATTTATCGCCATATAAAAAAAGTAATAAAAATAATAAGAGAATCTTATTTTCTTTTTTTTTATTTATTAGACATCAAACCGTCAAATATTTGTATATAAAAAAATGGATAATTAGTTTTCTGTCTTCTTTTTACTTTACTTTAATATTAGATTTGAAACAACATTATAAAGTAAATGTTTATAGTATTATTTAATCTATTTAGTCTGGAAGAGAACAATTCTAACAATAATGTACAGTTTCGCAATCGTTGAATAAATTAAAAACAGCCAAAAGAAATTCATTTTTCAAATTAATTGTTAGTTTATGGAAAAATTAAATTTAATTCTATAAAATAAAAATTGCTGTTGACTCTTTTTAAATTTCCCTCTTCTGCACAATATTTGCTGTTCATCTATTAATATTCAATATCGGCTAATCAGTTCTACTTCATTATTCGGATGACGAAACACGTTTCATTAATCCCTCTGCGTTATGGATCGAAAGATCATATTTATAAATTCCAAGAGTTTTCATTGTGTGACAATGTATAACAGATCGGGTTTGCAAAATCCCGTTTGAAGATTTTCCGGTAAAGCAATTCACAAGTCTCCTTCTCGTGCGTGTGCTCGCGTTTTTTTTTTTGGTGCGTGTACATATATCGGAACGCTTCCGCCTCTTAATGAGTCATTAATAACGACACGTCGATACGTTTCTCTTTACGGTCAAAGTATGTCGACGAAGCAATCGTCACGCGCGTCGAACCATGCATTTTAAATTTGCCGGACAGGCAAAAAGAATAAATACTGTCCCGTTCCACATTTTTCACAATTTTCCAAAAAGAAATCAGAAGAGAATAAATAAGTTTTTAATTTGATCGTGTCGTCTCATATTCGATCTCGCCTCGTTTCTTGCATGAGTATAATAACATGGTCAATCGTAGTCAATCGATAATAAAAACGTAACAATAATGGTAATGTCCAATGAAAGATCGAAACTTAAAGTAATACCGCAATACCGTTTGTATATCTCATCCAGTATAATTAATTAATAAACAATATACCAACGTAGAAAACAATGTTTAAGGGAATTTCCTTTCTCTCTCTTTCTCTCTTTACATTCTTATAAATATAGCTAATTAATATAACAGCACTTCTCTTAGATCCCAATATTGAGCTCGAAGAGGGAAACGATCGCGCTTATCAATTATTTTCTTTTCTTTCCATCCTTTCTCTCTCTTTCCGAGCAAAAACCCATAAAAATTATTTCTTTACTGCGTTTCGCATATTACACAAATCACATTTTCTATATTTCTTTATATATATAAAACACTTTTCTCTCTGTTGCGGAGACAAAAATTCATGCAGTAAAGAGTTAAGCGCGATCGTGCCTCTGCGAGCACGCATTCACAATCCTATTATCACAGTCAACCTCCACCCTCTCATCTTCCATTAATCGCAAATATAACGCCTCTGTTTTTCTTTGAACATTCCTCGTTCCGTCAAAAAGTGCAACGATTTCGGAATTTGTTCGAATAAATGAAATATTTCGCGAGCACCTTCGCGCGCGAATCGTCCGTCTCGAAAGTGTGACGACAGAGAAATTTCAAAATGCGACAAACTTGACGTATTTATGCTCGACACACAGCTCGGTCCAGCGACTCAAATTTAATCAAATCAATATATACCACTTTAAACCTAACTTTCTATAAAATAAATATTTTTAATTTATAAAATAAAAATCTTTTCCATTACCTAGGAATAATTTTAAAAATATAATATAATTTAATTATAGATACCGTTGTTTTTTTCAGACCTTTAATATTTTATTATTTTATATTAGATACACATGTATTGAAAGTATCATCAAAACATAAATAAAATTAAAATAAATTTAGTTAGATGAAGATTTGTATGAAATAAATTATTTTTTAAAATAATATTAAGCATAAAGGAATCAAATGAGAGATGATTTTGTCTAATCATCGAAATATTCACTTCGACACAGACGACTCACGTGATCGAATCCAGAAGAAGATATACGCCGTCTACGTTACTTCCAGAAACAATCGAGAGGAATAGTCGCGCACAGGAGAATGCAGAATTCTCCTTCTCTTTCTCTCTCTCTCTCT